GTTCTAATGGACTTTCCTACTGTACCCCTTCCCCTACCTCCCCTCGCCCCGCACATAGTGACTGCTTTTGACCGCTCTGTCGCTTTTTGTTTCAGTGGATCCGACTCTAGACGCGCACCAGCCCATCTACTCTTGGCCGCTGGTTCCTGGTTCTCGGGGCGGCAGGTCCTGGTCGGGGCCGGCGCCTGTCGCGGGGGTAGGCGCGGGGCCGGCGCCGGGGGCTGGGGCGGGCGCGGGGCCGGGCGCCGCCGCCTGGGCGGGGGCCGGGGCGTCTTTCGCCTGCGAGAGGTGTGGCAAGGCCTACCAGCAGAACGCCTCGCTGTGGAGACACCGCAACTACGAGTGCGGCAAGCCGCCCAAGTTTCACTGCCCCTTCTGCCCCCACCGCACCAAGCAGAAAAGCAACCTCGTCCTCCACATTAGTACAAAACATTCAGACGAGACATCTTAAAATAGGCCAGTCACTGTGCGTTGCCTCTTTGTACCTGAAATATTTCGATTCTGTCAATAAACCGTTGAACCAGTCGCCAGTTGAGGCTCGCTAGCCACCCCCTCCCTCCCTTCCCCTCCCGCCTCACGGCCCGTTTGGCCCCTCTGATACCCGCCCTCTGTTGCAGGCTCCTCGCGGTGGCTGGCGTCGCTCGGCGCGCTCTCCGAGCGGGTCGAGGAGGACCCCTTGTCCGGGACGCTGCCGGTTCCCTACCACCAGCAGCAGCCAGTGCAGGCCAACAGCCAGGGCCCGGGCCCGGGGCACTTCGCCTGCAACCAGTGCGGCAAGGTGTACCTGCACCCGACCTCGCTGTGGAACCACAAGTCGTTCCAGTGCGGCATCGAGCCCCAGTTCCCGTGCCACGTGTGCAACCGCCGCTTCAAGTTCAAGGCGCACCGCAAGCGCCACCTGTTGAAGCAGCACGGCCTGAACGACGTGCCGTCGCAGCGCCAGCGCCGCGTCTAGCGCGTCCAGTCGTGAAATACAGACCAAACTCTCGCCCGCCCTGTTCGTCATTCCACCCCTACCTCCTCTGAGAACGTCGAGATGCCGAACACATTTCGTGCCGCTCCGTTCTGCTCCCGCTTGGGGGTGTGCTTGTAGGTGTGCATGCCCTGGCCCTCGGACCCGCTCGCCCCTCTCACTAACGCGCGCTTCGCCTCTCTGATTCCAGGCCTTCCAGGTTTTGCAGGAATCCGGGGCCTCCACGGTCTGCAAAGCCTGCAAGGTCTTCAAGGGATGCAAGTTCCCCCCGGCTTCCCAGGTCTCCCCGGCCTCGCTGGCCTGCAGGGTTTTATGTCTGGCCAGCAGATGGCAGAGCAACCGGTAAACTACTCCTGCCAGACGCAAGAAGACTACTTCCACGACGACCAGCACAGCCTGTGGCCCGGACCGCACGAAGTACAAGGTAAGACTGTCTTTCCTCACTTCTTCCAAATCTATACGTTTAAGCGCAACAGTTCCCGTCTGATGATATCTCTCTGTTCATCTACCCGTTACAGACTTTGGAAAGCAGGAATGCGATGATGAGCTGAATGAAGGGGCAGATAATCCAGAAGGTGAGGTCAAGCTGCTTTCAGCTACATATTGGAAAAAGAACGAAATAAAAACCGGACAAAACGAGGAAACCCCCAAAGAAGATGAGAAAGACATATTTTAAATTAGTCTCATTTTTACTTGCAGACACTGAGAGCCGATTCCGAGACATATTCATTTACCTTACGTGCCAGCGGTACCCCGCGAGCGTCGGGCGCAGCCAGCGCTCCAACTTCCGCAAGGGCACCAAGAGCTTCATCGTGGACAACGGCATCCTCTACCACAAGACGAAGCTGTCGGTGGTGCGGGGCGCGGGCTGCAACGCCGCCGCCGTGCCCCGCTACGTGGTGGTCGTGGCGAACCGGAGCAAGCGCGTCGAGCTGCTGCGCCTGGCGCACGAGGGCACGGACGGCTCCGAGGCCCTGTCCCTGGTCGTCGCCCACCGCGGGATAAACGCCACGACCCAGCTCCTGGACAGGCGGTACTGGTGGCCCAACATTTCGGGCGACGTAAAACTTTTCTGCAAGACTTGCATGCGTTGCAATGTGCAGAAGGTTAGTGCCGCGGCCTCGAGCCGATCCGCCCCGCCTGCTCCTGCTCCGCCACCCGCCTCCGCCACCCTGCTCCACCACCCCCCATCACCCTCTACCACTCTCCACCACCCTCCCGGGTGGTAAAATTAAAATAAAAATAAATAAAAGTGAAGTGATCTGACTTCTTGTATGTTTTCTATGCCGGTACGAGTGCGTAGCGCGGCATGGCGGGCGCCTGCAACGCAGTGGGTAGGCCAGCCCGCCAAGCGCCTGTGTGGAGCCGGCGGCCCGCCCCGGACCTGCCGGGCTGTAGCGGTTGTACGAGCGTCCGCGTGCAGGGTGCAAGGGGTGCGGGGGAGGCCACGGCGTTTAGTGGCTCGGACTGGGGAACTTGGAGCGCCCGACAAATAAAATTTTATCTTTTTTGAAAAACGAGCGAAGCGAGCAAACCGACCAAAACTAATTTTGGCGAGGACTGTAAGACAATGCCAAATTTAGGGTTCAATAAAAATCGACGAAAAATAGAGCCTGCTTTAATTTTGGACGTGAGCCTTCTTGGTTGCCGAAATCCTGGTAGGATCCACCTAACGGTGCCCACTAACGGAGTCGCGAGTACGAGACTTGCTGCAGGAAATCCACAATGACCAGCCAGCGTATGTTTTCGTCGTTTTAATCGTTTTCATCGTTTCAGGAGACCCACGGTGTTTTCCAGTCACCCTTTGGATCGAGGGGTGACAGCCGCACAGCCCTGACCAGCCCTAACGGACTTCTCTCTGTTGCAGGCGCGTCCAAGTGGTGGCTCGACCCACCAGAGCATCAACTACGCGGTACAGGAGCCGGCGTCGGAGCTGGCGCAGGAGCCGGCGCAGAGCTAGGCTTCGACGAGGACGGTGACCCGCTCGAGGGCGGCGCCGAGTTCGCCTGCAAGATGTGCCACAAAAAGTACGTCAACTACCAGTCGCTGTGGAAGCACACCAAGTTCTCGTGCGGCAACGACTTCCCGGCCTTCCAGTGCCCGCTCTGCACCGTGCGCTGCCGGCGCAGGGACACGCTCAAGCGCCACATGATCAAGTTCCACGGCCCCGAGTCCACGGCCAACCCAGTCATAGTGCTACAGCAGGTGTAGTCCGCGCCGTGGCAGCCCTCGAAGGCAGCACTCCTGTCTGATGCCTGATCTCGTCCCTCTTTTTATTTATTTATATGTTAATTATGACAGTTTTATCTAGCTTGGAAGGCCCCAAAGAAAGAATCTGGTGTGTGCAGTGTCATAAGGCTTGTGTCTCAAATAAAAAAAAAGACCTATATTTTTCTGTTTGGATTGTCTTCTGTGTTCGTTGATCTGACTGAAAAAGAAGTTTCACTATCCATGCACTACGTGAGTTTGTACTTAAAATTATTGTCTCTCATTCTTTCAATTTGTAAGCCCTCGAAACCTATTTAACCCCTATTGTGCAATTTTACGTGTTTTGTAATTTAGTTATTTTTCAGAGTTCCTTTATCTATGCAAGAATTAAGCACGTTTTTTCACCAGAGTTTTCTTTTGTGTGTTAATTTGTGACCGTATTACACATGCCTGTTTCTTTCCTCGAGTTTTTGTAAGAATAAAGCAAAATAGTAATTAAAGTTCTCCTTTCCTATGGCACGTTCTCGCCACAACTAATGCCTAACTCCACGCACGGTTAGGAGCCTGTTGCAACTCCGACGCCGTATTTTGCCTGTTTCCCGCTCGTGCTGTTGACGCCCGTGACACTTTGCGTGTTTTGTCCTTCCCCGCAGATCCGCTGAGCTCGCCGGGCCTGCAACAGCAACAGCAGCAGCACCAGCACCAGTGCGACTCGTGCGGCCGGCAGTACCAGTGGCGCGAGAGCCTGCTCCGGCACCGGCGCGTCGAGTGCGGCAAGACGGCCTCCCTGCAGTGCCCCGTGTGCCCCACCCGCACCAAGCACAAGCACAGCCTGCAGCGCCACCTGATGCTGCACTACGCCTCGGACGGCCCGGACCACGATCCACTGCGCCAGTGAGACCAGCGGCGTTCGCATATGTCATCACGAGTTTTTATTTTCAATTAATAAATCCATTTAAGACCTGTTTAACGCCCCGAGAACTTTTTTTTGCCGGGATTCAACATTCGTTCCCTCTCCCTCCCAGCCCTGTCACCTGTCATTATAACAACGCCCTGGTGGAGAAGCTACCCCTCTGCTGCTGCCAGACTAACCGATCCTCCCGTGTCTCTGTCCTCAGCCTCGCTCCTTCTCGAGTGGCTCCCCGGCGGCGGGCCACTAGGCGGTCCCGGGGCCCCCGACGCGTCCGGCCTCGTGTGCCCGGACTGCGGCAAGTCGTACCGGTGGAAGGATTCGCTACGCCGGCACCAGCGCGTGGAGTGCGGCAAGGAGCCGCAGCACTGCTGTCCCTTCTGCCTGTTCCGCTTCAAGCACCGCTTCCACCTCAACGCGCACATGAGAGACTCGTGCCCCAAGCGCGGCGCCGGGCCGCAGGCGGCACAGCCTAAGGCGCAGCCGCTCCCCCAGCGGTTCGCGTAGGGTTGACGCGACCCTCTCGAGCATAGTGTATTTCGGCTAACGGAGGAAGAAGAATTAGCTGGTAGAACATTAAGGTTCCTGATTGGTGAAGCCTTTACCCTTTACCCCCACTACCGGCGTGACGTAGAGGTGGGAGGGAAGCCCTCGACCGACCGGGAACGATTATGTTCTACCTGCTATATTTCTTCCTCCGCTAGTCGACATACACTATTGTATGGTGCACCTACACGTCTCTGTATAAATATTTTTAATGCACTGTTTGTGTCGATAGGAGAGAGCGAAGGTCTAAGTTTTTGAGCAATATAGACAGTAGTTGGAAACTTCTGTCAATATTATGTACCTGATCCGATCCTCAATATTTTGGTAAATAATAATTGAAGAATTCTTTTTCCTCAGAGGGTATCTGGTGTAACAGTTCATTTATTTAACACTTGTTTGGGTCTTCACAAAGAACTATAACATAGTACACATTCACAAAAAATATAGTAACAATTCTGATTGGACACAAGATGGGTCTTACTCTTCAAAATGAACAGGAAGTATTCTCTATTGAACAGCGACATCACAAACATGTTAAAAGTTATTCGACACCTTACTCTATGAACATGATACATAGATCTGAAATTCCATCAGCCAGAAAAAAAATATTGTGAAAATAACTCCAGAGCAATTTGCTGAGACACATAACTTTCAAATAGTTTGATTTAAATGTGATCCACGAACTCTAGCCCAATAAGACATACAACAGATATTCATTTGAATTAAAAAAGGCTCTCATCATATAATTCATTCCAGTAACCTGTAATCTTGACTAAAACAGTGTATTACATATTCCACAAGCAGCTCTTATCACAACAGGTAAATTATAATGAATAAATATACTCATTCATGCCTTGTCCTGGAAAACTTAACACAAATGGCTAGGAGTAGAATCACAAAAAAATGAAGGTTTTATCTTTAAAAAAAGGTTCCCTTTCAAAACAAATTCTGCACAGCAGAGTTAATTATTATATTGTTACTGATCCTGATCAGAAAGTTCTAAATCGTCCAATTCGTCGTCTAATCCATCCAGGTCATCATCTTCCAAAAATAAGTTTTCATTTATAGCAGCTGCAGCAGCTCCTGCAGCTTCACCTGTTTCTGCACTTCCTTGTTTCTCTGCAACTAAAAATTTACAAAAAAATTAATAAAAATAATTTGGTTATCATGTTTACAAAATCACTGATTCCCACCACATTTTGTAATATTAAAATTATACCTGGAATATCCACATCTGTCTCTTCTTTTAACCTCTGCAAACGATCTTCTGTAGCTTGAGTTCCACTAGAATCAACTTCTTGGGCTTCCGCAGCAAGAAGATCAAGATCAAGTTCACGGTACTGAAAATGAGAAGCGTAATACAGATCCACATATTTCCAGAGTTCACTGATTAGTACTAATGTGTCTAGTTGGAAAGTAAACTTTACCTCAATCTTTCCTTCTTCGTCATCATCTTCTCGTTTGTAACTATCAAAGGCTTCATCACCATCATCCATTGAATCACCAGCAGCAAGTTCAGGGTTAAATGAGAACATTTCTCTTCCAGATATCTGTAACAGAAATTTTTAAAATAAAGCTTGGGTTCTTTAAGGTAGACAAGACGAGATTTTAAGAAATTAGCTAAATTACTCACCCCAACTTGACGCCCAGCTTTAAAGTCTTGTCTCTTTTTCTCTTCTTCTTTGGCTGCAGTTTCAGCCTTCTCCTTTAGCTTACGTTTCTTCCAAGCAATAAAGGTCTCCAAAGTTACTTTAGTTAGCTTAGATCCTAATGCAGCTCTTTCTCGTTCAATCAAATCCTCAAGTGATATTTCTTCTTTCTTATCCTTTTTCTTGTCCTGATGGTAGAAAACAACAATATTTCTATATTAACAATCTAAACTATGGTCAATAAAAGCAAATAAGAAGACAAGTAATACAAAAATAATATACCTTTTTCAACACAAAGCCAGGGGGAAGTGCATGCCTATAAATGCAGGAAGTACCATTGGGACAAGACCAAAACCACCCATATTTAGATTTCTCTACTGCATCCAAGAAATATTTGCATATCTGCAAAAGAGAAGTAAAATATTAAAATTGTTGACTCCATTCATTGCTAATACAGCTATTGCATATAGTGATGAAGAACATACAATGTCAGTAGTGGGCATTTTCTTCTCTGCTTCACCATGCTTCTTTTCAACAACCTCAGCAAGCTTTTGCACATCCCAGTTCTCCATGTTATCATCTTCCTCGTCTCCATCCCTCATATCAACGTACAAAGATCGTTTCTCACCCTTTCTTTCCATAGCAAGGTCATGAGAAAATTTACATTTGTTACCTTTTGTACATTGGCCTTGTTTGTAGAATGCACACACCACAGACTTAGGGTCAGTACCTAGAAAAGCACAGAAAAAAAGTAAGGTAATGTGAATAATATAGCAGTATTAAATTAAAGATATCCATACCTTTTTCAACTTTTTGAGTTGTGACAGGCCGGAAAAGCATGTTCATTTCCGCAGCCTCCTTAGCCTTAGCATCTTTATCCTTCAGCTTATCGGTTTCACCAAGTTTACGAGGAGCAATACCACCAGTTTTAACCTGCTTTTCTACTTGGTTAATAAATCTTTGCTGTTTCGCACCTTTCTTGTTTTTGAGCCCAAAAGTTTTGTCCTGTAACAAAATTGATCACAATCATATACAGCATCACTGAATAAGTGAATCAGGAATGGCTGAGCTAGGATCAACATTTTTGACAAACATAGAACATAGTGTATTTTTTCATTTAAACTGACTTGGGAAACTAAGTGGTCAAGTGTACAACAGATGGATAGGTTGGATTGTTAAGTAGCTGTTAGGTTAGGTTAAAACTAAGTGAAATACAAAATGCACAATGTTATCGTTGTGAACAGAGGAAAGAGTATTAACAGAATAAGATATCTACAGTAAAGCTAACATCATATCATAAATAATGCCAAATTGTAAAATAAATGAAGGGCAATAACCTTACTAAGTCACACCACATCATTGGGAAGGTATCGATAGTAAAATAAATGTAAGAACGAAAACTCGTACACACCTCTATAACTTTTTCTTTCTTTTTGGCATCCGCCTTTTTGCTCGGCGCAGCCGGTTTCGGCTTAGGAGGCATTTTGTTTACAATTTAGAACACTAAAATCAATGTAGAATATGTGCCGTTCTGAAACACTGCTGGAGTACAAAGACATCCACGCTATCTGTAGCCGAAATGTGCAAACATAGAAGTGCCACGACGGTATGAAAAATGCATTCCGGGTTAAAAAAAAGAACGCTGTAGCCAACAGTCCCATCATAAATGCATACCTTTGCCCATTGGTTCACGACGTAAATTCCCAACCAAATTGCTATCAATCTTGAAATTTAAGTAAAATGTAAGCATAAATGATATCTAATTGTTAATCGTTGGACTCATATAGACGTGACTTGTTATTATCAAGTATTAAGGGTGGTTATCTTTCACCACATTTAGATTCATATGTGCAGTGAGGCTGTATTCACATTCAGACCGCAGACGGAGCTGTATTTATGTTTCAGCACACGTGCGTTTTTACCTTTTACTGTGATACCTGAGGTTTAATACTTGTGTTTGCTCGCTGTGTAATATTACATGTTTACTCTTCTTTTGAACAGTTGATTTTGTCTCTGACGAAAACTGTGAAAGGAAGGAACCGATATAATAAGGCAGTACAATACTTCCTAACCCCCTCTAATCAGCAGGGTTTTAGAGTCCTATACAGTTGAGAAGACTATCGTAAACATGGTTTTACGGCGTAGGAAGATTAAAAAGGTTGGTATCTGTATATGACAATTTTTTTTTTACATATTTACTTTATAAAAAATAAATAAACCTTGGAACTTACACCATGCAATTTTTAGAGCAAGGCAGTACGCCTTAACATTGCAAAGAACAAGTTGGTCCCTGAGGAAGAAGCTCTTGCACCACATTCATTTGTAATACATCGGGGCATTGTCACTAAACAACTGTTGCACTTGACTAAAGATTTCCGCAAGGTTATGGAACCTCTGGAAAACTTAACACAAATGGCTAGGAGTAGAATCACAAAAAAATGAAGGTTTTATCTTTAAAAAAAGGTTCCCTTTCAAAACAAATTCTGCACAGCAGAGTTAATTATTATATTGTTACTGATCCTGATCAGAAAGTTCTAAATCGTCCAATTCGTCGTCTAATCCATCCAGGTCATCATCTTCCAAAAATAAGTTTTCATTTATAGCAGCTGCAGCAGCTCCTGCAGCTTCACCTGTTTCTGCACTTCCTTGTTTCTCTGCAACTAAAAATTTACAAAAAAATTAATAAAAATAATTTGGTTATCATGTTTACAAAATCACTGATTCCCACCACATTTTGTAATATTAAAATTATACCTGGAATATCCACATCTGTCTCTTCTTTTAACCTCTGCAAACGATCTTCTGTAGCTTGAGTTCCACTAGAATCAACTTCTTGGGCTTCCGCAGCAAGAAGATCAAGATCAAGTTCACGGTACTGAAAATGAGAAGCGTAATACAGATCCACATATTTCCAGAGTTCACTGATTAGTACTAATGTGTCTAGTTGGAAAGTAAACTTTACCTCAATCTTTCCTTCTTCGTCATCATCTTCTCGTTTGTAACTATCAAAGGCTTCATCACCATCATCCATTGAATCACCAGCAGCAAGTTCAGGGTTAAATGAGAACATTTCTCTTCCAGATATCTGTAACAGAAATTTTTAAAATAAAGCTTGGGTTCTTTAAGGTAGACAAGACGAGATTTTAAGAAATTAGCTAAATTACTCACCCCAACTTGACGCCCAGCTTTAAAGTCTTGTCTCTTTTTCTCTTCTTCTTTGGCTGCAGTTTCAGCCTTCTCCTTTAGCTTACGTTTCTTCCAAGCAATAAAGGTCTCCAAAGTTACTTTAGTTAGCTTAGATCCTAATGCAGCTCTTTCTCGTTCAATCAAATCCTCAAGTGATATTTCTTCTTTCTTATCCTTTTTCTTGTCCTGATGGTAGAAAACAACAATATTTCTATATTAACAATCTAAACTATGGTCAATAAAAGCAAATAAGAAGACAAGTAATACAAAAATAATATACCTTTTTCAACACAAAGCCAGGGGGAAGTGCATGCCTATAAATGCAGGAAGTACCATTGGGACAAGACCAAAACCACCCATATTTAGATTTCTCTACTGCATCCAAGAAATATTTGCATATCTGCAAAAGAGAAGTAAAATATTAAAATTGTTGACTCCATTCATTGCTAATACAGCTATTGCATATAGTGATGAAGAACATACAATGTCAGTAGTGGGCATTTTCTTCTCTGCTTCACCATGCTTCTTTTCAACAACCTCAGCAAGCTTTTGCACATCCCAGTTCTCCATGTTATCATCTTCCTCGTCTCCATCCCTCATATCAACGTACAAAGATCGTTTCTCACCCTTTCTTTCCATAGCAAGGTCATGAGAAAATTTACATTTGTTACCTTTTGTACATTGGCCTTGTTTGTAGAATGCACACACCACAGACTTAGGGTCAGTACCTAGAAAAGCACAGAAAAAAAGTAAGGTAATGTGAATAATATAGCAGTATTAAATTAAAGATATCCATACCTTTTTCAACTTTTTGAGTTGTGACAGGCCGGAAAAGCATGTTCATTTCCGCAGCCTCCTTAGCCTTAGCATCTTTATCCTTCAGCTTATCGGTTTCACCAAGTTTACGAGGAGCAATACCACCAGTTTTAACCTGCTTTTCTACTTGGTTAATAAATCTTTGCTGTTTCGCACCTTTCTTGTTTTTGAGCCCAAAAGTTTTGTCCTGTAACAAAATTGATCACAATCATATACAGCATCACTGAATAAGTGAATCAGGAATGGCTGAGCTAGGATCAACATTTTTGACAAACATAGAACATAGTGTATTTTTTCATTTAAACTGACTTGGGAAACTAAGTGGTCAAGTGTACAACAGATGGATAGGTTGGATTGTTAAGTAGCTGTTAGGTTAGGTTAAAACTAAGTGAAATACAAAATGCACAATGTTATCGTTGTGAACAGAGGAAAGAGTATTAACAGAATAAGATATCTACAGTAAAGCTAACATCATATCATAAATAATGCCAAATTGTAAAATAAATGAAGGGCAATAACCTTACTAAGTCACACCACATCATTGGGAAGGTATCGATAGTAAAATAAATGTAAGAACGAAAACTCGTACACACCTCTATAACTTTTTCTTTCTTTTTGGCATCCGCCTTTTTGCTCGGCGCAGCCGGTTTCGGCTTAGGAGGCATTTTGTTTACAATTTAGAACACTAAAATCAATGTAGAATATGTGCCGTTCTGAAACACTGCTGGAGTACAAAGACATCCACGCTATCTGTAGCCGAAATGTGCAAACATAGAAGTGCCACGACGGTATGAAAAATGCATTCCGGGTTAAAAAAAAGAACGCTGTAGCCAACAGTCCCATCATAAATGCATACCTTTGCCCATTGGTTCACGACGTAAATTCCCAACCAAATTGCTATCAATCTTGAAATTTAAGTAAAATGTAAGCATAAATGATATCTAATTGTTAATCGTTGGACTCATATAGACGTGACTTGTTATTATCAAGTATTAAGGGTGGTTATCTTTCACCACATTTAGATTCATATGTGCAGTGAGGCTGTATTCACATTCAGACCGCAGACGGAGCTGTATTTATGTTTCAGCACACGTGCGTTTTTACCTTTTACTGTGATACCTGAGGTTTAATACTTGTGTTTGCTCGCTGTGTAATATTACATGTTTACTCTTCTTTTGAACAGTTGATTTTGTCTCTGACGAAAACTGTGAAAGGAAGGAACCGATATAATAAGGCAGTACAATACTTCCTAACCCCCTCTAATCAGCAGGGTTTTAGAGTCCTATACAGTTGAGAAGACTATCGTAAACATGGTTTTACGGCGTAGGAAGATTAAAAAGGTTGGTATCTGTATATGACAATTTTTTTTTTACATATTTACTTTATAAAAAATAAATAAACCTTGGAACTTACACCATGCAATTTTTAGAGCAAGGCAGTACGCCTTAACATTGCAAAGAACAAGTTGGTCCCTGAGGAAGAAGCTCTTGCACCACATTCATTTGTAATACATCGGGGCATTGTCACTAAACAACTGTTGCACTTGACTAAAGATTTCCGCAAGGTTATGGAACCTTTTACAGCATCTTCATTGAAGGTAATTTTTGACATAATTTGATTGAAGCTGTATTCATGGTTTTAAGTTTAAGTAAAGAGCTGATTTTATTATTAATACTTATGTTACTATTTTCTGTACTAGGTCCGCAAGAAAAATTCTGTCAAAGATTTTGTATCTGTTGCGGGATTACTTCATGTTTCTCACCTGTGTGCATTTACATGTACTGAGCGAAGTCAATATCTGAAGCTATGTCGCTTGCCTCGAGGGCCTACCCTTACATTCCGGATTCATAACTATTCTTTGGCAGGGGATGTGGTATCCTTACAACGCAAGCAGTTAGTTTTTAGGAAACAGTTTCAACATGCACCTTTAGTTGTCTTAAATGGTCTGAGTGGTGAAGGACAGCACCTTAAGTTAATGTCAAGCATGTTCCAAAATTTGTTTCCCACAATTAATTTAACAAAAGTTAGTACATGTATTTTCATGGAGACTTCCAATTATTTATATTGATGTAGATTCCTTTAATGCTAGGACCATGCCCATCTATATTATACATTTTGTTTTCTGTACAGGTAAATCTCAGTACTATTCGACGTTGCCTTCTTCTGAATTATGATCCAGTAACTCGAACAATCGATTTTCGTCACTATGCAATCAAAGTGGTTCCTGCTGGAGTATCCAAAGGTGTCAAAAAGCTTCTTCAAAATAAAATACCAAACTTATCAAAGTTTAGTGATATCTCTGAATTTATGACCAAGTAGGTTGAAACACACGACAGTTGAAAATGAAATAATTGCGCTTCTTTGTTAAATATTAAGTACCTACTTTCATTCTTGATAGGTCAGGAATGCTGTCTGATAGCGAGGCAGAAGATGATCCCAAGAGCCATGTAACCTTGCCTCAAAAGCTGGCATCTCGTGGAAGTCAAATTGCTGAGAAGTCAGCTATAAGAGTGATGGAACTTGGACCAAGAATGACTTTGCAGGCAAGGATTTACTTACATGGCAGTATTTGTCGGTTCAAGGCATGTTCACTTTGTAAAGTTTTCTTTATATTTCAGTTAATTAAAGTTGAAGATGGTCTCATGGATGGTGAAGTCTTGTTCCATGATGTGTACAAGAAGACAGATGAAGAAAAAGAAGCCATAAGAAAGAAAAGGGAGGCACGGAAGTAAGTGATTTTGTTGAATAATCACTGATGTTTGCTGTGCTAACAATTTTATTATAATTTCTCAGTCTTGCTGCATACAGCTCTAATCAGACACTAATTTATTGTCTAATTATCTTTTAGGAAACTCAAAGAGAAAAGGAAAAGAGAACAAGAAATGAATAAAAAAAGAAAAGAGAAGGAAAAAGAAGAGCACAAACTTAAATCTCTGGAGGGAATGGACCGCAAGAGAGACCAAGTAATGGAAGAGCAGCAGAAACGTCAGCCTAGAAAGAAACTGAATAAAAAGATGCTGGAAACTGATGTTCTTATGCGAAAGGCAGTTTTGGAATCTAATGATGCTGCCCGCAATAGTGATGATGATGATGCAGAATGGTACCGGAAAGAAGTTGGGGAAGAGCCAGAGAAAGGTAAGGGAACTTTTTGCTGCTTTTCTTCCAATATAATGAAACAGTAATTCAAATTTTCACTATGTTGTGTGTTTTTTACAGATTTATTTGATTCTCATAATGAAAGGAAGAGAAGATTTAATGGCTCATCAGGAAACAGTTGGAAAAAGCCAAAATTGGACAAACAACACAGTGAAAGATATAAGAAAATGCTTCCTGGACGGAACAAAAACAATGATAGGAAAAACAGCAAGACTCAAGGAAAATTTAGTAATTCCAGACAGAGTGGTAAAGGCTCTCAGCAAGGCCGCTCAAATAGAGGTAACAGGGCAAGAAAATAAGCATTTAAAACAAGAAACTTGTAATAGAGACAAAAGAAAAATAAAGTAACTATTGAAATGTATGTTCCATTAGTTTATTTTCAAATGACTGAGATAGAACATTAAAATGACATGTGGAAAAAAACCTGATACACACAGAGTGAAAATTGATTGTTGCAAAATGTTTCATCAATTTGCAAAATGTGTACAGATTTAATAGAACCAAAATGTTCCATTGGGCACAAAATTCTTTATCAACACACTGCAAGAAAATGATGATCTGTGCAACCATATGGTAAAGTGTAGACACTTCTCTGTGCAATTTTGACACAAATGATGTACTTAACAGAGAACCCTGTGGAACACACATTTACACTGAAAATTGGTTTGGTGTCTGATACTCACAGATTGATAACCTTCTTATTCTAGTGATGTTCTTAATGTGAAACGCAAAATGCAAACTAAATAATGTCAAATTCATTAGTTCATCTAAAATATGAAAAAACTATGGTCAACATTTTGCTTAAAACATAATGACTTAAACATGGTATAACAATTGTTTTCTTTTCAAAGAGAACAAGAAAAAACAAAATATAGCTTATATGTTCTAGAAGACTAGCAAAGGAGATGTATCAGTGATATTTCCTATTTCAAATTTTCTAATTAAGTATGGTTGAGGTAAGATCATCTCCATCCATCTTCAAATGACCAATCCCCAAACAGATTACTGTTACATCTCCTTTGATAGATAGCCTAACAAACTGATCCTCAGAATGTTCTGCCAACAGGAACAAAAAAATAAACAAATTTCACTGATTCCAAGTGGGAAAAAAATTAACATGCTTTGTAACTAAAATGATAAATGATTTGGATGAGCAATAAAAAAAAAATACTAAATCTGACTGACTAAATTAGTCAAGAAATAAACTTTTCTTGTTTGAAACATGACATGACATGTAGGTAGATTGGGGGGATGTATTGTCATCTTTAAAAGTTATGAATGCTAACTATGCATAAATTCAAAAAACTTATCACTGCTCATAAACAAAGTGCAAAAGAAAGTCAATCAAGAAAAATAATTACTACCATCCATACAGGTATTTTTCAATCTGATCTTTAAGAACTACATTTTAGACCCCTGATACTGATACAACATTATCAGAAAATACAAAAATGTACTGATACTGCCATTGTTTCTTGAAAGTTTGTTAACATCACACAGCCAAAGGATTCCAAATCCAACTTCACTAGGATATTTGGGCTGTACAGTGTACATAAGTAAGCATTATCATGGCATTGGCAGTACATATGCTGTGTTTATAATGAATTGTACTCCGGAAAGATTATTTCTGTTGTGCAATTATTTAACATGATAATCGCTGAAATTTTGAATAAAAAACAATTTAATTAGTATATTTATACTGACATTTGAAAATGGCACTGAGCATGATGCTGTTGAAGTCTACAGATATTTTGTGCTCCAAATAATGGATTTTTAACTCTTTTTCTACTGTAACATGTAACAGAATACATGTTTAACCCAACATAATACTGAAATCTAATGCCAGAGGTACCATATAGAGTCCTTTAGGACTACAGTACTATGTAGTCATGTAGTACATAAATGTACAACCAAATGGCAGGATTTTGTACAAGATCCTAGGGCTAGAATCGGTTCAGAACATTATGCAAAATTAAGGAAAATGCAATTTTTTTGCTTAAAACGGAAGCAAACAACACATGGAAAGGAAATCAAAAGATGATTCTGAAATCTATACACAAAACTGGTAACTCCATGAAAATCTTTCCTTCAATAGGAAATAAAACGTTCAAAATGTACAAAAAACTCAAGCAGCAGGGTGTAAATTTAAGATGGTTCATTCAAGATTGCTGCAAACAAAGAAAAAAGTGCTCGGTTATGACCACTGCATACACTTGTCGTGTTACCATAAAATATGTTAAAAATGTGATCAATGTGGAAAATATTCTAGATCGGTGGGCAATAACTGACAATTGTCATTAATATGAGGGCGGAGGTCCAGATTGCATCATACCATATCCTCCATATTGATCAGAATTCTCATAGCCGTAGCCATAGCCATATTGGTCATAATCGTAGCCACCGTAGCCTGGATGAGCTCCATATGAAGCATCTACTGGATTAGGCCAACCCCCACCGGATACCGCAGCTCCTCCCCGACCATTGTAACCTCCACGGCCGCTGTCTGTGTTTACATATGGAGTCAGGCTACCAAAATTGCCCCTGTTTTTATAGTGATTTCCATAGTTGGAAGCCTTGCCAACATTTTGATGTGAAGGACCAGCTTGATTTGGACCTTTGTTTGTACCACAATTTGCAGGCATAGAAACACCACCTTCAGGTTTTATGAAACTATTGCTGTATCCAGCACTTTTAAAACTAGAGCTTAAGCTCGTAAATTTAGCTGGCACCGATTTTCCCCCGCGGCTATGAGACCCAAGACCTCCTCGACCTCCTCGACCTCCCCTTGAATAGGGAGTCGGCCTCTGCGATGAGCGGCCAGATTCACGGTCAAGATGTTTTTTAGAATGTAAATGCTTGGAAACATGAAACAAAAAGAGTTCTGGTTAAAATTTTAAGTTATAGAAGAAATGGTTTGAATAATGAAATTTCTACTTTACAATACCTGTTCTAGTTGCTGAGGAGAATTTACGGTTATATTGCAAATATTGCAAACCAAATCCAATGGGTTTGCAATCATCGCTAGAAATTAAACAAAAAAATACAACTTGTAAAATAAATTACTGTCATATTTAGTCCATTAACAGTACATGCTGAGATATCTACACTCACATTTAGGTTTCTCAGCTTTGGGTACAACCCCTTTAGATTCGTTTGAGCCATTGGCACTAGGATTATTCCAAGTAGTTGATGAACTATTCTGCTGAACTTGTGGAGTAGCAGTTTCATTGAGTTTTGCTTTGTGTTTGGCACCTGAGGAAAAATTTCCCTTTTAAGTTTGAGAAACAATCACCATTGGCATGAGGTTTAATTTTGCTGCAATTACCTGCATAGTGTACATCTAATTGCTGTGATGAATTAAGAGCTACATTGCAGGTATCACACTTAAACATACCGGTGCCATTTTTGTCATTTTGAGCACCATCGACTTTCACTTGGCCAGCATCAATCATGTTATTTAGGAGTTCTTTTGCCTTCAACTGTTGTGGACCAAAGGTTGATAATATAGTCAGTAATAATTTTATAAAAATAAAGTATTTAAACAAATATGAAAACTTAAGGCTTGATTTCTCCTACTTCACCTTTTTGGCATGTTTGCTCCCTTTCATGTGGGCATCAATGACAACTTGACCTACTAGCTCTATATTGCAAATTTCACATTTTTGTGTTACCTACAAACCAAAAACATGTTAAGGTAGGTTTGCATACAACCAGACATTTATTATAAAATGATCTTTCTTAAAGTAGACAAAGCTACTTCACATTCTACTTACCACTGTTTTCTTGGCATTTGATCTAGACTTGTTGTAATAGTTATGATTGACTCTTCTGAAGTTATTATCATGAGGGGCTGGAGGAGGATGGGAAGGCGGAGGCCCAGCTACAGAATGAAGAGGAGGAGGTCCGGCTACAGAATGAAGAGGAGGAGGTCCCGCTACAGAATGAGGAGGAGGAGGCCCAGCTACAGAATGAGGAGGAGGAGGCCCAGCTACAGAATGAGGAGGAGGAGGCCCAGCTACAGAATGAAGAGGAGGCGGCCCAGCTACAGAATGAAGAGGAGGTGGTCCAGCTACAGAATGAGGAGGAGGTCCAGATAGAGGATTAGGAGGTGGTCCAGCGACAGAGTGAGGAGGTGGAGGTCCGGCTACAGAGTGAGGAGGAGGTGGCGGTGGTCCAGCGACACAAGGAGAAGTGGCCACTGGAGGAGGTGGAGGTGGAGGAGGTGCTGATGCAAGGGCTGCAAAGTTGACATCTTCTGTAAACCCATGTTGAGGTACAGCGCCTAGCCCTGGATCCATCTGAAGCAACATGAACAGAACCAACAGAATACTGAATTAGCATTCAAAAAGTAGACTGAAAGACATGACTGATACTGTTGGTAGATCTATACTTCTGTTTCAAACTTGTCAAACAACTATTAAGCACAGCATTATAAAATAGTTGGTAAAATTACCACATATTTGAAAAAACAATACTAGATAGGAAAATATATAATAAGAATAAACCTAACACTTCAGAAAGTACCCAACAAAGTAGTCTTATCATAATGGTGAACCAATCATTCATAAAAAAAAAATATATAGCGGCAGATCACTTACACCAAATATATTTGGCTAGGTTAAACAAGAGGGGTAAACTGAACTAGTAAATAAAAACAAGAAAACAGTTGTTGGTCCGCCAACATCAAAACATTGTCCAGCACCGTGAACACTGACAAAATGATAGTAAAATGAGGATTATTTCAAAGTCAACTCTGCATAAAATTAAAAAATGATGAACAGGAAATAATCCATCCAACTACAACGACATACTGTGGAACAAGTTGCACCGGTACTCAACAATCAATGGTACAGGGCATAAAATCTTTTCATTAGCAAGAGGGCATGTTCCTTACACAAGGTTAAAGCTAGCAGGAAGCAGATTTTTCACGTACCCCGAGTTAAACCTGGTGCTGCTATGAATAATTGAAATGTTGACTTGCGAAGAAGATGTGTTTTTTGACACAGCAAACACGACACAACCTTCGTTTAGCGTTGTGATTGTGGCACAGGCGCACTGACTGATCGACTGTTATCGAGACGATCGACCATATTTTCTCTCGGAGCGATACATCGATATGTATTTCTACGATATGTTGGTTATTGACCGACACTCCTGTCCATGTATTTCTCAAATTTTGTGTTTTTGGTTGTAATATAGGTGGTTACATTCGTAGTAAGGCAGTCAAGTATTGTTTAAAGGCCAGTTTGAAGTACAAGGTAAGATTATCTCTTAATCTCTCTTTCATGGTTGTAGAATTTTTTCATGCTAAAGATAACATGTTCAGTTGTCAAACAGGATTCTTTCTGAATAACATTAGGCATGCTATTTTTGTGACACTATTCAAAAGAAATAATGAGCTGCTTCCTAAAATTTAACTGCTCTTCCGTTCCTTCTAATTTGGAGTAGTATGGCAGCACTATGCTTCACTTCCAATTCGTAAAAGTCTTCTTGTTATGTTATGGCTGAATTTCGTCGTTCTGTTCAGGATTTCTTTATTGTTAAAATCACTACTATTTACTTAGAAATTAAGGATTTTCTCATTTGTCTACCATCCTCCTTAATAATTATCAATTGTATTGGTGGATTCCAGTGATATAATTTTGCCCAGATATGTTGCAGCTTTCTTTGACAAAATTGTCAGAAATACTATCTGAAGTAGGTTCACTATAATGTGTGAGCGTCGTTATAATGTGCTTGATTCCTGTTTCATTTGGCTAGTATGTGTGTAGTTTTGATTAAAGTGTGCTTGTCAGTTGTGTTAAAACAGGTTTATGCTTTTATCGTAGCTAAACTAATGAAGATCTTGGCTCTTCACTTAATCCGATAGGAAAAATTTGAAACAATCGTTGATCATTCGCATTCACTTTTCTGTCGTTACTGATTTGAGGTATATTGCACTACCAAACCAAAGGTGTGAGTTTAGCTCTATTCAGTTCTATTCACAAACCTTCTTGGAAAGAAAATATCAATGTTAAATTTTGATTTCTTAATTCTTACCCAGTAGTTCATGTTGGGCGGCAGAAGAGAGACCTGTTTGAATTGAGAATGTTATTAAGCGCGCAGCCCGGCTCTGGCTTGTCTCGGCCGCTCAGCTCCGCTCAGCTCAGGAAGCGGCCCAATATCACACTAGCATTTGCTTTGTTGTGACTAAAGCGAGCAGCCCGGCGGGCCCGGGCCCCGGCCCCTAGAGTGGAAGCTCACGGCCAGCCCACGGCGAGCTCATGCCGAGCTCATTGAGAGGCGTGCTGATATCGACCTCACACAGTTGCTGCACGGTGGCATGTCGAGTCGATGACGAGCTTCGCGAGCCGCCCAAGACCCATTGTAGAGCACCACACCGCCTGTCCTCAAGGCGGAGCGGCGACGCGGCGACCCACGACCCACACGAGCCCTCCGGCCCTTCCGGCCGTCGCCCTTCCCCCAGCCCCAGACTAGTCTTCACGAATTGCACAGATAACTGCTCCACCTCCTCCCCTTCGATCAAAAAAACTTTTAGAAATATCCCCAATAAGAATGGAAATCCGCGAAAATGAGAACGTTTTGTTTCAAGTAACTAGGAGCTACAGTCAAACTCGACTCGCTCTGCGGTGCGACAAAGTGACCTCGTGACGCCTTTTTCCGCGGTGCTACTTGAGCCGGTTTTTCGAAGGGTCCCCTTTACAAAGTGACGGATGGGGGGGGGGGGGGGGGGGGGGGGGGGGGGGGGGGGGGGGGGCTGGTGTGGTGCCTTGCTGCGCCGCCACGCAGCCGGCCGGCGACGGCTTTATCTACGGAGTTCACCCAGCCTTCCCCCACTTGCCCCTCTCCTAGATCACAACCTGCATCCTGGTCGCAGCGAACCCCCGCGCGGCTCCTGAACACACACACACACGCACACGGCTTACGCCCCCGCACTGGGCCCCGGCTTTAAGCGAGGCTTCGGCCTGCCGCCTGTTACTCGCACGCCAACCGGACTGGACTCACTGGCCTGCGCTCCGTTCTGTTCGCGGCGTTGCTGTTCGCTCGATGTATTTACTCGTGACGGGGCCGCGGGGCCGGCCAGGACGAGCCGAGGGACGGACGGACGGACGAGCGAACACGACACGACATAGAACACGCCACGCGGACCTGCGCCCGCCCGCGACAGCCTATGCGGCAGCCGGCGCCGGCCCATCAACTTTTTATTTTGACGCCTCGTTGGCGGCGCGGCCTGCCGCGGCGTGGCGTGGAGTAGCGGGGCCGCCTAGGCCGCGCAGGCCCGCTCGACACGCCTGCAGCCGGGTGGCCTACCGCCACGGCGGGCAGCGCCACGGCGGGCAGCACGCCCACGCCGCAGCGCGCTGCCGAGCGGAGGACATTCTCTCGTCTCACTTTTAGGGTCTCTCTCTCTCTCTGCCTGTCGCCGCACGTCCGCCACCGCCACCCTTCGTACCCGCGCTTCTCCCCTATTTGCCCGGTTCGGTGGACTCGCATAGCCTCTAGCCCACCCTGTTTTCTGCTTTTGGCAACCTGAATTTATTTCGCCTCTTCTAAATGGTCCTCGTATGGGATCGCCCGTCTTCGTCTTCCCCAGATTCATTCGGCAAACTACAAGAGCTCGGCGCCTGCGAGACTGAGGGTAGGCCATCCCGCAGTACACGCATGCACTGCAGACAAGATGTTGCCTACCGATCAGGCGCTAGGGGAGCTTGCATTGCCTGGACTTGACGGCAGTCAGCAGTGCCTCCAAAAGGGCAAGTCTAAAAGTTTTATATTATTTCCAACTAACAATATTTTGCCTAGCCAGATCTTTCTAAAAGATGCCATTCTTTAAATATGTCAAGGCCCAAAAACAGAAAAATGTAGTTGGAAATACTATGAAAATTTTAGACTTGAAAAACCTTGCGGGCTTCTTAATCTACCTTACGGGCTCGTGCGGGCTTGTTCACCTGCGAGCAAAAGCGTTCATCCCGCAACAGCCTGCACTTTTGGAGGCACTGCTTGGCAGTTTCGTGACAGCGAATGACTGTCGTCTTCGCTGGATGATCCCTAATTGCGTGAACTGAAGAATATTCGAGCTGCGCTTAAAACGTCCTATTTATCTGATTATTTTTTTTTCGGAACCATCAGTCTGAGGTATTTGCGGAAGGTTCCGAGCTCCCTCGCCTTTTAACTCGTTTGCAGCTGCAGGGCAAACACGGAATGCCATTTAGCGAGTTCTGTTTGCCTTTCTCTACGCACTCCCTTCCCTCTCTCCCTCCCGCTCGCCCCACCTCACGCCAGCCGCTCTCCGGTGCTCTCTTCCTCTGTTGCTCCCCCACGCCCCCCTCCCCCTCCCCTCACTTTCTCCGGCCGAAGGGCAGGTGGACGGTAATCAGCACTAATGCAAACGGATGGCTCGTACGATTGGCAATAAGGTGACGTCAGAGAACCGCCACCACTTTGTTGAAGGTCTTTTCTGGTGGAGGTGGGTGGACCGGGCCCCGCCCAAGTGCCCAAGTGGCCTCATATTGGATAGAGCCCGCGTCTCACGAAAAAAAAAAAACTGTTTAAAAAAATATTGAAGTTGGGAAACACGACGACAGCAGCCTATATTGTAAATTGTTGACACGAATTTACCGTTTTAAAATGGGGAGGGTAGCCGAGAGGTAAAGCCCGGGGTACCACACCGCCACCGCCGTGTTGGCGTTGCACCGGAGCATTTCAGCCCCCCCCCCCCTCCTTCCTCCAATCCCCTCCTACTGGCTTTCTCAAAAGCGCACGCACCGTGCGCGAGTCTCATGTCGCGTCTGCTTCGTCATGCAGTCCGTGTTCGACTAC